CCAGTAATGCCTGTGAAGTAATATATTAGCGTAGCACACAATCTTGTACAGCTAGTCAGCTATCTGTGTTCTGTAGCATCTGTGCTATGTTGCTAAAACTGTCTAACTGTAATTATATCCCACGTCCAAGTTCCAGGTTATAATATGCAAAAGTCTAAACATTAATCTCTTAATTTTACAGTAAGTAGTGAAACTTACTCAAAATAAAGGCTTAAACGTCTAAAAATGCACATTTAAAGGGCTCCTCTTTTGGTGAAAGTTTTTAGACGGCTTTCAAAATGGCCGCCAAACAGTGTGAACACATGGAGACCCATATCTCAGTGTGCAATGATCGGATTGACTTGAAATTACAGGAGGTATGTAGTAACAAACACATCAATTGGTTAAGACATTAAGTAGGATAATAAAGTATTTTTTCTTTTTATAATTTGAGTTCAAATATGGAAGTGTGCTTAATGTGTACGTGAGCTTAATAGGTACGTTTACCCTAAAAAATGTAAGATGAACATCCAACTAAAACACTTTCCTCCAAAAAAAAGAAGCATTCCATGAATAATGTATAAATAATGTTTTTGAGAACGTTATTAAAGACCAGAGAACTGTGAATGATATTCAGAACGTTTGTTCGTAACTTTGAGCGAACATTACCAGAACATTGACTGTTAACTAGAAACCTTAACTGACAGCATTTTTGGAATTATGTTAATGCAAATTGCAAAAACTTGCAAGGGCAAAATGTTTGACATTACTTGATCTGCAACCATATGGTGCAAACCTCCCTAAGAAGAAGAGAAGAAAATAAATGAATAAATATAGGAGGGGGAGGAAAGGTGGGAGAAGATGAGGGACAAACAAATCCAGTAAAAAATTATTTAAATAGTGTATTTTTTTTTTTTTTTTTTTTTTTTTTTTTTTTTTCTTCATTCAAAAAAAATAAATCAAGGTTACGATGAGGCATTTACCTTGGAAGTGAATGGGGCCCATTTTTAAAGCGTTAAAAAGCAGAAATGTGAAGCTTAAAATTTTATAAAAGCTCCAATATTAATACTTAATGTTAAAATATCTATTAATTGAGCTGTGAAGGTATTTAAATCATTATTTTTTACAGTCGTTTCAGGGTTTTATGGTATTATGTTGCTATGAAAAAATTCTAGTAAGCATTTTTTTTACACTAAAATCATGTTAACTCTCATATTGCTTATATATTGTGGCTGAACTATTGAAACAATAAATATTTCAGCATTTGCAAATTGACCCCATTCACTTCCATTGTAAGTGCCTCACTGTAAGATTTTTTTTTGTGTGTGTGTGCTAATCAACATTACGCCACAAATGCTGTCAAATGAGCTTAACTTGTAATAAATCTGGGATATTCTCTAAAGTACCTGCATGGCTCATTTTATCCAGGATCAGCTCTTGAATAAGGGTCTGACGTATATTTTGGAGAAGATTCAGCTTCATAATGGTGAGTGCTGAACCCATTTTATAGGTCTTATTGGTGCATTTGATGGCCTGCTTGAGCTCTAATAAGGTTTTATACAGATGTGTGTAATTCAATCGCTCCTTGCATTCTTGTCTCATTTCTCATGCCCAGATGAAACTCGTCTCCAAGCGCTGTCTGAGATGTGGGTGAGGTTTTTCACAGACATCCTGCCAACTCTTCAAGCTATTTTCTACCCCGTGCAGGTATTAAAATGATCTCACCTAGCATTCAAAGTAGTCGGTTGGCGTCGAGTTACAGACACTATGGTGACTGGTGTTTTTTGGCTGGGTTTAGGGTCAGGAGTTGACTGTGAGGCAGATGGCTCTGCTAGGCTTCAGGAACATGGTTCTGTTGAAACTTCCTGTGGAGAAAATGTTTCAGGGCTCCTCATATCCTCCTCCAATCACACAGATGCTGCTGATCCTGCAGGTGAGCTCTTACGAGGTCATTTGTGCACTAATAATGTCGATGTTATGATGCATCATGAACATTTCCACCACATCTGTAATTTTGAGATGGAAATTACATTTTAAACATTTTTGGAAATGTTTTGGTCCTGATAGCTTTAGAACTAGCATTTTGTTCGTCTTAGATGCTCAAAAGTAATTTGGCAGCTTGAACAGAAAGGATGCACAATAAGTCAGTAAGCACAACAAGTCTCTCATATTTTATCTCACACCCTTCACTGACATTGTTGTCTTTTCTCATTGGTAACCAAGTACAGTAACATTTGAAAAAATGTTTAGGTGAAAAAATATCTGAGACACAGTCAGTTTGTGTAAAAATAAATAAATAAATGAAGTGTTAAAAAGCAGAAATGTTAAGTTTAACATTTTATAAAAGCAATAATTTTAATACTTTTTAAAAAAAAAATGCATTATTTTAATATAGTAACATATGAAAAAAATGTTCAGGGGAAAAAATGGTTGTTGTAGAAATGACGCCACAAAAAATTATATAAATAATTTGAAAAAATTTACAAATTCAGACAAAAAGTGCACACATTCAGCAGGCAACTTAATTCAATATTTATAGTATGAAAAATATTTATATAAATATTGTTTGTGTTTATTATATCTCTGTTGAGATCTTAATTCTAAAAATGTAATAACATTTTTAGGGTAAATCCTGAAAATTGTATATACGAAAAGTTATATATAAATAGATATATAGGCCTCTAATTTAACCTTCATATAGTTATTAGTAATTAAAAGTAAAACTAAATAATAAAATTAAAT